ATCTCTGCCACACTCATCTTTTGAATGTGACATTGTTTCACCGCTCAACACTCCGTGCCATACAGTAATGCCGGCCTAATTGATGTCTTATTAATGAATAGTGACAATATTTTTTATTTTCTGATTTCAGTTTGGGGCCTCAAAGTTATCTTAGGAACAAGGCCTCTCAACTTTATTAGATGGCTCTCAATATTAATACATGTAAAACCCACCAAGTTTGTTCTTCGAAGAGATAGCACCTTAGATAAAACATCATTAGATCAGATTAAGAGAGAGTACGTACTAATCACCAACTAAATCTAAAGAGATCAAACAAAATTAGGCTAGACATAAGAGACTCTACCATATCACACCAAACCAGACATGCATGCATTTATTATTTCTAGAACAGTTTGTTGTTATTATATTATTTTTATTATTATCTGTATTAATAATTAATTATTATTACCATTGTAATAGGTAGGACTAAGTGGTGCACTTGAGACATTATGTGGACAAGGATATGGAGCAAAGATGTATAGAATGATGGGATTTACCTCCAGACTTCTTGCATCATATCACTACTTTTCTCTGTTATAATTTCTGTAGTTTGGTGGTTTTCTGAACATATACTTAGTTCTACTCAAACAAGAACCTGAAATAGCAAAACTGGCCGGCCTCTACCTCAAGTTTCTCATACCTGGATTATTCGCCTATGGTTTTCCTGCAAAACCTGCTCAGGTTTATGCAGACACAGAGAGTTGTTTTGCCTCTGGTCTTGAGCTCAATTGTTCCACTGGCTATCCAAATCGGGCTCACTCACGTTTTGGTTCGGTTAACGAGTCTCGGTTTCGTTGGCGCTACCGTTGGCTGCCTCGATTTCGTTGTGGATATCGTTTTCTTTGTTGGGTTTCTATGTGTTGTATTCGGAGAAGTTCAAGAATACATGGAGAGGGATTTTCTTCTGAATCATTTCTTCATCTCTTTAGTACTATGAAGCTGGCTTTGCCTTCTGCTGCTATGGTGTGGTTAGTTTCTCCCTCTAAACTTTCAATGGGATTTATTTATCATGGAATAGATACTATAATAGCTTAGAAGTACAAAAACAAGTTTAATCAAGTGTGAAAAGGCCTTATTGATTACATACCATAATCACCATTACATTTGAAACATTTTAATGCAACATTTGTATTCATTATTTTTATTTCACTAACGTCATTGATTTTTTTTAATCCCAAAAAGGTCTAACTACTTACGTATGTTATGACTTGCATGTACTAATTTTTTTGTCTGATCTCAAATGGTATGATCCAAGTCCGGTCTGATCTAGTATTTAAGTCTAGTGTAATCTAGTACGAGTATAATAATTTTAGTCTTTTGTGATCAGTGTGGAGTATTGGGCTTTCGAGGTTCTAGTCTTGCTGGCAGGCCCTTATGCCCAAACTCGCAGATAAACAACTTCACTTATTGGAATGTGGTAAGTATGCAACTTTTAGTAATTATCTAAAGTTCTTATACCCATAAGAAAGCTCTTTTGGTTGGGTAAATTTGTCTCAAATGACTAAAATGAGCTGAGCCTTTTGGACTTCATGTCTTCAATGGACTGAACTTCATTTAGAAAAAGTCACTTTTTTTTGGAAAAAAGAAACAAGGTCAACTAATTTTCTCTCATTTTTGTGTTGTGAATTCAGTGTGAACACCGAAGCCATTGCCTACATGATCGCATATGGTCTTAACGCAACTGCAAGGTAACAAATTCACTAATGACCCCCTTAACCCTATACACACCATATATACATGCAATTTGAATCTTCTTTCAGCATCCAATGATGCAAAAGTTTAATCTAGTGTATATTTTGAAACATATATAATGTAGCACAAGAGTGTCCAATGAGTTGGGAGCGGGGAAACCCGAGCGAGCTAAGCATGCGGTGAGAGTGACTTTCATGCTGTCTTTCATTCTGGCTTCGGCAACGGCTCTTTCTCTGATCATCGGTCGCAATGTTTGGGCTGGCCTCTTTAGCAATAGTTCTGTTGTCATATCAAAATTTGGTTCAATGACACCCTTTCTGGTTATGTCATTCATCTTTGATTTTTTCCAAGGAATCTTATCAGGTCAGAAGAAATACATGTCCTTTTTTTTATTATATATATGATCTTCTCTGAGGAAACTTATATGGTTTAGGAAAACCGGGTTCAATCGTTTGTTCTGTTTTATGTTTTTTGATATATGAGCAGCGGTGGCTAGGGGATGCGGATGGCAGCACTTGGCCGTGTGCATAAACTTGGGATCATATTATGTCGTTGGGTTGCCCATTGCAGCACTATTGGCTTTCAAGTTCCATCTCTATGCTAAGGTAACTAATCAAGTTGTGATAGTGATCATACACATCTTGCTTGAAAATGTGTTCTGTATCTAATTTTTTAAGGATACCTTCAAATTGGGTTCTCTAACATTTTTTCCAGTCCACACTTCTAGTAAATATAAAGGTAGAAGGTTATGAAACATGAAAATCGATAGTAAAACTTAACTAATGAGTTTAATGGTACTACTCAATCATCACATCCTAAGTTATTTCACACTAATCAAATGTACAATTCATGCCAAATCATATCGTAAACTTTGTATGATGTGTCAGACTATTCATTCTATCATATTGACCCCAAGTAATAGTATTGTAATACAACGGGTTAAGATGCAATGAGCAATTCAATTTTCAATGCCCAATAAATCTCATCCATCTACAGCAGTGAGTCGGGGGGTTGTTGTACATATATACTTGCATTGTTCACATGGGCTGGCTTGCCACAGTTGCTAAACTTTGAGATTCTATATTAAATGTTAAGAGAAAATTGTGACACAGGGATTGTGGATTGGGTTGATATGTGGTCTGGCTTCTCAGTCATGTGGTCTGTTGTTGCTGTCTATCTTCACTAAGTGGGACAGAGTGGAGATCTCAACTAGCTCTGATGAAGAGAAAGCATTGCATGCTTGAATCAATATGAGGCTTCCATATATATGGATTAGAAGTTTAGAACTACTATCATCTTGTATTCTTGTAGGACATATAGAGAAAGAAAGCAAAACATAGCAATCTCCATCCCTTGATGAAAATTTAATTGTACTTTCGTGTACGGTGTATGGCTTCATAACTTTTTTTAATGAATCTCTAAAGAAAATACGAAGCGGCTTTGTGTACATGACGGAGGTGTTCATGCTCATTGTTTATGCCACAAACAATTTGGTACCATTTTAAATCCAAAATATATGTAATGTTGATAAACAAAACTATCTCTTATATCAGTGTGTACAAACAAAATTTTTCAAAAAAATACGTAGTACTACCTTTTTCTTGTTAATATGTGGGGTGTAGCTTTGTAATTACTCCCTTCATTTAAAAAAAAAGGTTGAGATGCTAATGAACAAATTATGATGATAACATTCTTTGACATTGAAAACTTTGGTTTTAATCTCTAATTTAACCTTTTTCTGGTATCCTGATGATAATACATTTCACTCTTTTGAGAGTAATCTAACAAATCAATAGGTTAAAGTTTTTATGATTATTTGCTCAATCAAATTCGCTCTAGAAAGGACCTAATATATGGACTTTAGAAATGTTGCTCACTCTCAATGAAAGGTGGGTGTGTTATCAGCATATTGTAAGGTCGTACCTTTTTTTGCAGAAAGGTCATATTCTTAGAATCCAATTTTTATCTAAAATGTGATTTAGTGTAGAAAGTATGATCCGAGATAAGTATCACTTACACTTCGATAAACGGATAAAGTTTTAATCCACATGATGAATTAAAAATGGGGATAAGAAAATATGCTTTCTTAAGCACTTCTAAAATCCACTACTCCGCTAGGTTCTAAATAGATACAACTACTTCTATAATTGTCTCACTCACTAGAATGAATGAATGAATGAATGAATGAATGAATAAATAAATAAATAAATAAATAAATAAATAAATAAATAAATAAATAAATAAATAAATAAATAAATAAATAAATAAATAAATAAATAAATAAATAAATAAATAAATAAATAAATAAATAAATAAATAAATAAATAAATAAATAAATAAATAAATAAATAAATAAATAAATAAATAAATAAATAAATAAATAAATAAATAAATAAATAAATAAATAAATAAATAAATAAATAAATAAATAAATAAATAAATAAATAAATAAATAAATAAATAAATGAATAAATGAATGAATAAATAAATAAATAAATAAATAAATAAATAAATAAATAAATAAATAAATAAATAAATAAATAAATAAATAAATAAATAAATAAATAAATAAATAAATAAATAAATAAATAAATAAATAAATAAATAAATAAATAAATAAATAAATAAATAAATAAATAAATAAATAAATAAATAAATAAATAAATAAATAAATAAATAAATAAATAAATAAATAAATAAATAAATAAATAAATAAATAAATAAATAAATAAATAAATAAATAAATAAATAAATAAATAAATAAATAAATAAATAAATAAATAAATAAATAAATAAATAAATAAATAAATAAGGAGTTTATTAAAATAAAGCTCCGAATGCACTTCTAATTTCTATTAATCAAGCGGGTGATATTAGAGCTTGGGGTTGGGTGGCTAGATATGAAGGTGGTTCCTTTGTGAATGCTCGCGGTTCCGGACGTAGAGCGGGGTGGTCAGCCGAGGAAACAGAAGACATGGGGATCCGTGATGCCATTATGGGAGCAAGTGAGGAGAGCTGGCAGTAGGTGGAGATAGAGACAGATGCACTCACGGTGGTGCAGAGCTTAAAGAGAACGAAGGAGCTGCATATGCTCACCTTATCATTGATGATATCTGTAATCCGTAATTTATTAGAAACAAAGAGTAATTTCAAAATCTTTTTCTGTAAAAGCTCTGTGAATCATGTGGCTCATTCTCTGGCTAAGGCACATGTGTATATCTCAGATCAGTCGATTGATTATAATTATGTTCCGGATTATATTATTAGCCATATAGCTAACGATTTATTGATTTAATAAAGTTTTTCGGTTTGACGATAAAAAAAATGAAATTAAAATTTGAACACAAGTTACACAGCGACAAGTGTATCAACACAGTTTACAAATATTATTAGTTGGTTTATGATAAAACGAGTGATCTGAACTGTATGAAAATAAAACTGATTTCAAATAATTTACTCGGACAAATGAGTTGTTTTAAGAGTAAATTTTCCAAATACGACTAAAACATGTGTTACATGTAAAAACAGGGTTATTTGTTTAAATTCTTTAAATATGAGCAATTATGTGTGTTTCTGCCGCCTTCAGAATCTGCCGCCACCAACAGATTGACCTTTGTTATTCAAGAAAATTAGGAGGTAATTTATTAATTATGCATTTATCTTTAGATTTAGTCTTATTTAGCACATTTCTCTTGTTTTAATCTCTTGTGGTTGACCTTTACTCATCGAGATTATTAGGTCTAGAACTTAGAACCGTAAAATCGGGAAAACTGATCTAAACCGAACTGAATTACCCGGTTCGGTTCGGTTCGGTTCCTATAATTTTGGGCTTTTGCTTTTTCGTATCGGTTCCTATAGTATTTGACCGGTTCGATTCCATTTCGGTTCCGGTTCCTATGCAGGAACCGAAGTTCTTATACATTTGCATGAGTAATCTTCTTTTGAGGTGTTTCTAAGTCAATTTTTTTGTTGAAATTTTGTGATCTTTTTTTCCATAAAGTATAGATTATGTTCAGCAAATTTCATTTTAAAATTCAATCTGAAAGTAAGTTAAATAAATTATTGAAAAACATTACGCAATGTTTTTCAATAATTTATTTAACATTTTAACCCACTTCCCGATTGAATTTTAATCTGTATTTTGATGGATCTGCACTTTAGATAGAGCATCCTCACAAAGTTTCATAAAAAATTCTACCTAGAAGCGCCTCAAATTGAGGAAAACAGAAAGCGTTCCGATCAAAAAATTATTGATAAGAATATTTGTCTTACATAATATAACTTATAAATTATGGACTAGACCAATTCCAGTAGTTGTTATATTTTACTACTTCAGATCACTTTTATATTTATTGTTCGTTTGTAATTGTATTTGTTATTTTGAGTCCACCTAAAAAATGAGTTAATGTTGCTGATGATAACATTGTTATGTGTTTATAGTAAATTACTAATATTACCAGTCAATTTATTACCACATAGTTTTTACTTATAGTGAAATTCGATTATAAGAACATTATTTTGGGGTTGAACTATGAGCTAAACTGCTACTGGATGTGTCTCTGGAACTATACATTAAACTTTTTTGCTAGGCAGTTGATGCCAATTATATTTTAAACGTTTATGTTTTAATTTTTATGTTTAAATTTAATGTTTACACTTGGATATTTTTGTGATAATTGAACATTGCAATATCATGCAAGATAATCTGATGGTCATAACTTCGTCAATTATTTTCATGATTTCGAATTTGAATATTTTTATGTAACTGAAGGTAAAATGTATTCATTTTTGGAATATAATAATTTTTATAATGAACCAAAAAATGTAACAACCGAACCAAATTTAACTAGAACAATAACTACATTTTTTACTAGAATCAAACCAAATTTAATCCATACAATTTTTAATATGGTTCTATTGAATTTTAACCAGAACCGAACCAATCCCACACTAACTTATTAAATAGGGGATTAGTGAAACATTGTTTACCTTTTTAGCACGGTCGCACGGAGTATTGTTTAGGTTCACTTTGGAATTGTGGTTTGAGAACAAAAAAAAAACTCAGTTTGAACATTTACTTTAAAATCACTTTTGAGAATTGTGATGATAAATAATAGGAAAAACTGTCAAATAGGTCCTCGAACTTTCATAAAAAAGTCAATTAAGTCCTTCTATAGGAGACTCTGTCCAGTCGTCGCGATTTGGGGCGGTTCCCGGTGGAATTTTTTGTTCAAATTTTTTGAGCATCTTATTCATCAAGTCTAGTTTACTCATACCAAATTTCAGCTACAAATTTAATCGGGAGCGCATTCAAATTAATTCGAGAACGCAAAAATGCGCAGTTTTCTTCAAGAATTAATTTGAATGTGTTCCCGATTGAATTTTTAGCTGAAATTTGGTATGAGTAAACTAGACTCACGGGCGGCCCTAGGGGGGTGCAAGTGGGGCGGGCGCCCTAGGACCAAAAAAATGGATAAAAAATAGTCCCAAGTTTAGTTATTTGTATTAGGTGTGAGTAGGTTCATTTTCCCGCACTACAGTAACAAATTTTCAGGTGAAATTTGTTGAAGTTCTTCGAAATAGATTTTTTTGGTGAAAACTTATGATCATGTTCTCTATGAAGTGTAGATTAATTAAAAAAATCAATTTAAAGTTCAATTTAGATGTCAATTAAATAAATAATTGAAAAACACTGAGTTTGTATACATATTTTGGTGCATTGTTTTTCAGTAATTTATTTAACTGACTTCACGATTGAATTTTAAGCTGAAATTTTATGGACATAATCTACACTTGATGAAAAACATTCTCCTAAAATTTCATAAAAAATCAATCGAAATCAAATTAGTCTCATATGATTATTTGATTAGTTTATTAACTGATTCTATTCATAGTTGGTTTGATTTCTTAATTGTTGATTGTTTTGTGCTCATTGTTGGTGTTATAACTTGTTGATTTTGTTAGACAAACATTTCCAATTATGATAAATGTTATAAATTTAATTAATTTCAAGGTGTAATAAAAATGATCGAATCTGAATAAGATAAATAAAAATTAAAAGAGGAGAAGATTAGAGAAAGCGGCGCTAAGTAAAAAAAAGTTTAATGGAAAAGTTTATTTGTGTAAACAAGTCATATTCTGAATGTCTTCTTCAAGATGAAAACTCATACAAGAACAATAATTTAGCTACTAAAAATGAAACGACTCAGAATGCTTACATCATTGGAGGGGAGATTCAGGAGGTGATAATAATAGAGTTATTTCCTTAGATATGACTTAAACATTGGCAAAATGTACAATTAGGATCACCATTGTTTCATTCCTAAATTATTATTATGCATGTTAGTTTAGATAGAAAAGAGTTCTGCAATTTTTTGTAACATTAAGCCCATTTTAATTTTCCGCCCCTAGACCTTTGACCATACTGGGCCGCCCCTGACTAGACTTAGTGAATAAGATGCTCAAAAAATTTCACCGGGAACTGCCCCAAATCGCGACGGCCGGACAGAACCTCCCATAGAAGGACTTAATTGATCTTTTTATGAAAGTTCGAGGACCTATTTGACAGTTTTCCCTAAATAATACGGAGTACTGTATATAAGTACTTTTGAGAGATATTTATTTGGGTTAAAAATAAATAAATTAAAGAGTGTCGTGGTAAAAGTTGAATTTCTAAAAATAAAATATGGAGTACTTTAATTTAACCTCAATATATATAGTTCTGAAACGTTCAGATGAATGGTTTTCATTAATTGTGATTAGTAACTAAAGTTGAGTTTAATTAGTGCTGTATCGAATATCATAGTTAAACTCTTGTTAAACTTTAATTAAAACTGAAACATATGACAGACATGCATCGTTCGATGATTTCGCGTCCAGATGTGCATTTCGATTTGCACGTAAATATTTTAAAAATTTTAATATATCAAAACGTATGTCTATTTTTATGTTTCCTCCTTGAATAAGTAAAACATGTTTAATTTTATATAATTCACATGTTATATTTTGGCGACGTTTTATTTATTAATGCATTGATAGCTTATTTTTTCAAAGATAATGTCAAAATTTGTGTAGTTTTAAATTTTCAAAATCTGATTTTTTAATTTTTTTACAAAGAAAAAATAAATATACGTAGTATTATTTTTCAAAGTTGTACATGGTTAAACGCGAAAAGTGAATGTTGAATTTATTTAAGAAACTAATACTTCATATGATTTAATATATTTTCCCTTTAATAAAAATAAATAAAACCGAACAATAGTGCAATATGACGACATTAATATAGTCGACTTAATATTCTATAATGTAAAAAATATGAGAGTCAATTCAGAATGACATAAGAAATAATTATGTAATTTTTAGTGATTATAGTTATGCTTAATTTTTAATTGTTAATTATGACCATGATGGGATTGTGCACATACGTCAAATTCTAATCCATAAATTTTATTTTAATGATATTCTACAAAAACCTTCAAAATATAGTACTCATCATATTCAAAGAAGACGCATTATTTTGAGAAATTTCCCATTGTGTATTATCATCTTCTGAATATATTTTTTAATCTTCCAACAGTAACCTCCATGTAATTTCCGTTTCGACTATCACAATATAAACACTAATGGCTTCAGTTTCTACTTCTCCCCTCTTTAAAGCTAGTTCTAACCTCCTCATTCAAGCTCTTGTGCATTCAATATTTCCATTCTCACTTTAACTTTTTCACTACATTTTTGCCGGTCAAATGTTGTTTTCTCCAGCCAATTAAGACAAAGTTATTGATAAGTAACACAATTACTATACATTATTGTTATTAATAAGGTGACGGTGTGAAATATTCACTCTATATATCTCCTTCACGAGTCACAAACCTAGCTAGCTAATTAAGCTAAAGGGGCAACATATAAAAACTATGGGTGAAGAAAAACACTATTGTGATTATTGTTATTTTTATTTCTCAAGGAATTTTGTTTTCCTTGTCTCTGCTTTAATGTTGCTATTTCCCTGTGATGCTTTGGAATTTGATGTCGGTGGCTCCGACGGGTGGGTTTTAAACCCATCTGAAAGTTATGACCATTGGGCTAATCGTATGAGATTTCAAGTTAATGACTCTCTAGGTATGTTTCTTTCTTCCATCATTTCATTATAGCTTTTAATTTATTTGTTCTTGATACTACCAAACGCCCTCTATGTATGGCTACGTTTGGTATTCGGCATTTCAGCCTCAATACGTTGCTTTTTGCAGTGTTTTGCTTGTAAAATATTTGGTGCTTTGGCTAAAGTGACAAGTGACTATAATATGGAATACTACGTAATTTTTAGTGATTATAATTATTTTTAACTATGGTCTTTTTTATAAAAAAAGACCATGGAATTGTGCACATTCTAACATAGTAACATTAGTCATATTCTTATCCATAAATTTTATTTTTTCGTCCCGGTTTGAAAATAGCTAATCCTAGTCCGATCCGGTCCCAAGACCATGTTCACCCGTATACTTGCCCATTAACTTTTCTTTGAAACAATTATACAAAAAGGTTACGATGTTATGACAAATTCATCAATGAACTACTACTGTATAGCAATGAACATACACTCCCCAACTATTCGGACATATTTGTGTTTAATCGTTCTAACTTCTAAAAGACCATCAAAGTTATATTTTTCTATGATGTAATTCTGGAGCAAGGTTGTTCCTTAACTATCTCTTATTCAATTAAATTAAATTCATTAATGTTAACTTATTTCTCTTGTTTGCAAATGTAATCCTTAACGAAATTAGATTTTGCATGTGCACGTACCTACAGTATTCAGGTATGATGAAGGACAGGATACTGTATTGGAGGTGAAAGGGCAGGATGATTATGAAAAATGTAATACCCAAAACCCCATCAAAAAAATGGACGATGGAAATTCAGTTTTCAAGTTGGACAGATCAGGTCCTTTTTACTTCATTTCTGGGAATCAAGAATGTTGCCTCAAAGGACAAAAAGTTACTGTTGTTGTTCTCACCACGAGAAACGAAAACAGTACCCTGCCACCCAAGGGCTGTCCTTCGCCACCATCCGACCAGCAACCTTCCTTGGCTGCACCCCCTAAAGCTAATGATCCTCTAGTTTCTCCGCCTGATGTGTCCTCTGCACCTTCATCCAATGCTACCACACAACAAGGTTGCTTGAACACTCCGCCTGCTGACTATGACCCGCCAGTGGCAGAGCCTGAGGATAGGCCCTTAGAAGGCTTTGATCCTCCACCAGTAACAGAATCACCAATTCCGGGGAAGGACTGTGATGCTTCAATCATCAGAAGTGATCCAGTGAATGTTAATAAACCACCACAATGGAAATCAGCAGCACCTGCCGCAACCCATCTTTCAAGTGTCTTGATTGCAGCAGTCATGGTTATTATAAGTGCTACCTTCGGAGGATTTCTCATTTTTTAAGTAATATACCCATATTAGTCATTTCAAAATTAACAAAGTATTATTAGATTTTTAAAAATATGAATAATCATTTATGTCATTTACTGTAATCTTTTTGTTAATCATCATTTATAAAATTATTACTATATAGTTTTTTTAGTTTTAAAATGACATAATTATAGGGCTTTGGAAGAGGTATGTAACAGAAATGTTGGAGTGTAGTCATTATCCCCTGTTTGGGAAGAAAGTAATAAGCATCCCTTTATTGTCTGAAACTACAAATTCAAGAGTTGGAGATCATACATAATTTATCCCCCTATAGTACTAACATAGAAAAAGCTTACAATACAAATACTTAACGGAACCTTGGGATAAGCCGAGCCAGGAAAATATAGTTTATGTGTTACAGAATACAATATATATAGATGTCCTCAAAAGAACCACCATCGCCTTTGCCTGCGGTTTTTCTGCACCCAATTATTAAATTATTAGTCGGAACTCAACTATTTTGAAATCAGATGATGAAACTCTCAACTAACTAATGAACTTCAATTAAAGAATCCAAATTTCAAATGACCCTAACATATAAATGTAACACCCTAACAATCAAATTAAAATTATCTTGGTTTGAATTAGGTGTGGCCCTTTATGCCTAGTTTGTATGTTTTCGGCCACTTCCAAACCGGCTTGAGGTAAAGTGTGTGGGACCCGTATGTGGTCTCAAATCTCTGGTGATAATATAACAATGATAAAAATAATTAACAGAGAAATTATTTTATAATGGAAAGTGTTTCTAGTTCTTTGTTAGTACTGCTAACAATGTTTATCACTTGCAAATATTACTGGGATTATTTAAAAAAACTGAGAACAAAAAAAATCACCCATAACAAGTTTTTATACTGCTACACTAGGACGCACGGAAACTCTCCATGGCTCACAGTTTTTATACTGCTACACTAGGACGCACGGAAACTCTCCATGGCTCACGTTTCCACGTTTCGGAAACTCGGAAGCGTTTCGGAAACTCGGAAACTTCAAATTCCCGTTTCGGGACCGTTTTCGTAATTAAGAAAAATTTGGAAACCCGTTTCACTACATTTCGGAAACCTCGGATTCCAATTTTTTTTTCTTTTTCAAAAGATTCTATGGTGGAAAGTAATTTTTTATAGTGAATTTTTGTGGTATTTCTCAGCGGCAACACTTGTTACATTTCGTAACGCAATGTATTGCTAGAAATGTATTACCCCGTACATTTTATGTTTAATTATGTACTAATATGAAATAATATCTAAATTCGAACATGTAGAGTGATTTTATTATTTGGTTACTAAACAAATTATATTAAAAAACATGTGCATATGGAAAAACTTGTGTACATATATTAAAAAATATTTATAAATATATCCTTATATTTTATAATATTTACGCGTTTCCCCCACGTTTCGTGTCCTATATTTTATAGAAATTACGTTTCTCGCGTTTCCCGTTTCCCGTTTCCCGTTTTCCGTTTCCGTGTTACTTAGCTGCTACACAGGGCAGAAAGTTCACATGTTTACCAAGCGAACATTATATTATCATAAAACATTTCACATGTAAAATATTGTATGCATATTATTCTAATAAGATATTGAAATCTTCTATACCGCCTTTCATGAGGGTGTGCCATTCAATATGGTTGGTGGATATCATAGTTATTTGGTTTAGTACTTAATAATAGTGATTATTTAATATTGGTTATCAACTAAGCCAAATGAGTTAGTTTCAAAAAAAACTAAGCCAAATGAGTTACAAAGAAGGGTGTAACAGAAGCATTAGGGATAAAGGCTTTGTTGTTGTATTCATGAAATGACCAGAGCATTAGGGAGCATCTTAAAGTACCTATTTGATGTGATAAAATCAGGAAGAAAAAACAGAACATGAATAAGCATAGAGTAGCACCTTTTGTGTCTCTTTCTTTATTATAATAGGCTGAGAAAGCACACCATTGTCAATGTTCTGAATGTATGGCTGTACCTTCTCCTCCAACATTTTGTTTAGCTGAAGTTCATAAATGTTAGGGTTAGCAGCAGATCAAGGGCGCATTAAGCCACTAGATACATAATTGCTATTAGCCAAAACAGGAAGATGACACAGTCAAACCACTAAATCTCCATATGTGAAGCCAAAACAACAGAGTTTGGTTCTAAATTACAGAGGAAGCAAAATGAAATGTTAATGTTTACTAGGAGCATAGGAAGCAATTTAAAATCACTTGAACAAAGAATGGTGCAGCAAAAGAATTGCAGATACTGACCTTTTCTTCCCGCCACTCGGCTTGCCACTGAGCATCCAGCATCTGCTCTGCAATTTCTTTTTGTGCACTAAGAAGGACTTTCATTTCATCGAGTCTTTTAGGATCTTTGAGATCTTCTTCAGTCCAAGAAGATATATTCAGAGGAAGATTCAACTCCTGCAGATGGTTACATCACTGAATGATTGAAAACATAGAAATTTTCATAATATCACCTAAAACATCATAATACAAATCTCTAAGCTTTTACATGAATGTTTGCAGGATTAGAGAACAAAAGCTGGTAGGCATTCAGCATTCTTAACAAATTGGCCAAGTAACCCATGGTTAGAAGTTAGAACCATAAATCTACCAAAAAGGATTTTTTTATGTAACTTATGCATGGCTAGGTATCAATAGATTCTAATTAGAAATCTAGTTTCTTTCAACTAATTATGGTCATTGACTGGGATGTTATAAATCAACAGGAGCATCCATCACCATCAGAAATGGCTTAGGAGTAAGTCTTAGGATAAGTCCATATGATCATGATTCTACTGCTTTCTGATTCCATCACAAGAATATGCACTCTGAAATGGGTGCATTTTACCAAATCAGCATGCAACATCTGGAACAGGCCCTCAAAGATTGTACACAATCAAGAAAGCAAACATGTGGAAGTGTCCTGAACAACCTTACACATAATAGTTAAACCAAATTGCGAGGAGTCATCTTATACCCATGCTCCACGTTAATCACCAAGTATTTCATAAATTGATGACTCGTTTTACACGCCGAGTAACTTGGTCGTACTAAATTATGACATATTTTTGAAAGATTGAAATGAAGAATGAAATTTGAAAACAAATAGCGACTTTATTTTAATAAATGGGAAAAGAACATTACCAAAGTCTATGTCTTGGAAGCATTAACATTTAAAATTCCCACAAAGGCTTTAGGTCTCGGTGTGCTCTTCTTCTTCAGTTCTTCAATTATTTTCTTCTTCTTAGACTTCTTACTAGGAATTTTTGTTATTACATACGAAGTATTACGTAGTAATATATAAGTAATGTGCAGTAATAAATGGTTCTGAGAACGCTTATCAGGATTAATTTCGGATATAGTAAGACGTGAGGATTGATTAGATGATGGATCTTTATAAAATGTTTATGATTTATACTAGTTGTAATGAATTATTATTTTCTGTTCTGTATATACTTATTAGGCAGCTAGTCAGCTACATATAAATTTTGTGACATCTTTTTTAAAAAGTTACTACTACAAGACCGAGTAATCACGAGTAACCAGTCCTACTCACTACTCAGCCCTTGACCGAGTAGGCACCAGGTACCGATTGAACTACTTAGATCAAATCTACAACAACATGACAACATCAGTGTGAATTGCAGCAGGAAAAAAGGTTTTCTTCATGTTCTAGTGCTGTGATCTTCGGAAGCTTACTTGGAAATAGCAACATTTTAAATAAAAAATGTAAAGACTTACTCCCCAATCATTAGGACGCGGTGGAGGGTCAAGTTTCAATACTTCAGCTTCTAGCGCCTTCAAGGCCCTGTAATAGGGGATATTTTTTATGACAACAGGATCATCCCTAGCACGGGCAGGATCAATTGAGATCAAAGCCTGTAGTATAAGAATTAATAAAAATACACCCATTCCATTCATGAGATGTGCATTACATATTCACAATAAGTCACCATACTTCTTGCAAGTATTCCCATCCAGGCTTTCGCTTGACAACCTCATCTCTTAGTAGATCGTATCGCATAGATTCCTAAATAATAGAAGAAACATCATGAGTTGCCAATGTCATCAGAAATTCATAGCATATTAGATCTAAAGCTTCAATATGGGGAAACACATCAGAAAATGTTAGGAAGACCATTCGATCATCTTAAAAAGTCAATTCGTATTTTCATATGTCTTTATATGTGAAATAAGAACTGATCCGAACCGTATCTCAGTGAAGATCAGCGGATGAAATTTAGCCATAAAACAAGTGACATATCCTAACAAACTAAAAAACTAGTATCTTCCATTACTAATTTCTGCAAACTGTGGGATTAAATACTAAACATTGAAGTGGTAAAGTTAACTGTATTAGTGAAAAAAAAAAACTAAAAAACGGGTAGAAGCCTAGAAGGTACATCAATGAGGCAATACATATAATGAAAAAGTGATCAAAAACAGAAATAGACCTTGTACTGCCACCATATCTTCCTTTTGACATCCTCTTCATATTTAAATCCGCCTACTACCTGAGGTAAGGTAATCAACCAAAATGCTGCAATGCTGGGGTCTTTCATACTCTCAACTATATGCTGCAATGAAAAGGTCTCAGAACTACAAAATCACAATTAAATTCAGTATAGTGTGCAGAAAATTTAAACAATGCAGAAGCTCTAGTCTACTTTCTTTCAATTTCTTGCAGGTAGATAGATTGAAACTACAACATACCCTAAGGGTATGTTTGGGAGTTTGGAGGGAAGGGGAGGGGAAGGCTTTGAAGGGTTGTTGTCGGAGGGGAAAGGTAGGGGAAGGTGAAGAAACCCTTCTTCCTATTTGGGAGCATTAAATTTGGAAGAGAGACTTTGAAGGAATTATTATTAAAATTACATTGACATGTGACAAACTCAAATAATTTAATTGATAGTCATTTTAAATTAAGCTTAAATTATCATTTCATTAATTACCCTTCAAAAACCTCCAAATTGGGGGAACTTCAAAATTGAGCATTTAGAGGGTT